ATTAATGTAAATTCACAGATGAGAAAATATCAAATTCCAGTTCATCGACAATGGAAACTCCAAAAACAACATCACTGGTAAAGAAATGCGATGTTGAATACAATCGTATAGGTCCCTCAAATACTTGTGTTCAATCTAAAAATCAGCTCAGTGGAAATATTAACGAAAGTGATAACCATAGGAAAAATCTAGTCGGTGGTGACATCAATGATGGCAAAACCACAGTAAAAAATTTCATAATCTTAGAGGTTTGGTCTATGAATCTCGTAATAATTTAATGTATTAAAAAGCTTGCGTAATCTTAATGTGGACATTCGCTTTGATCTATTAAAATTCGAGACTGAAGTTCAGTTTATTATTTTCTCAGATTTCCTCAATTTTCTTAGTCCAAAAATTTGTTTAGGACAGACAGAATAATGAAACTGTGTGCGAAAACATATCTTCTGGTTAGTGTTTTACAAAATTCATCTTTTTCTTGTCGCTTCTTTTTCGTCGCTTCAAATAACAGGGTTATAAAGAAATTTGATATCGAAAAATTTATACCCTTAGTGATGTGTAAGCTACTACTTGGTGAGAAATAATTTAAATTAAAATGTTATGTAGGTTTTTCAATCTATATACTTTATCTAAAGTAAGAACAAAGTAGAACAGAGAAATCATGACTTAAGAGAAAAAATCACCACTTATAAGCTACTACTCAGAAACTTTTCAAATCTTAAAACATGCTCGCACATTTTAGATCTTCAGAATCAAACCTGTGCCGAAAACAACGACAGTAAATTAGCGTCGGTCTTATTAGATGAACGTGTCAAAGACACGGAGCGAAACATTTTGGAAGAGCCGAGACTTTCGATAAGATGTAAAACTCCTGTAATTTTTTGTGGTATTTTTTTTTTGTAAAAGTTAGAAACTTCCTTATGTTTATGGGAAATTGAAACCATTTTATTTTTTTAAGATTTAAAGGCTTGACCATGTTTAGCTTCATTATAAGCATTGATCTGGTTTTGATGACGAAAGAACTGTTTCTCGCATCAACATTTAAGGCGTTAGAAATGGCGTTAGAAATTTGAATCTATTTTCAAGGTGTAAGTTTGTGACAAAAGAAAGAATTCCTTAAGCTTCAGGAAAACGCAGAATCAAATTTGGAAAATGCGAGCCGAAAGGAGAGTGGAGATGAATTATTGAAAACACCAAACAGTATCTTGAAAAAGTGTGAAGGAAGTTCAACTTATCCGACGATCAAGTTTTTTTCAGCCAGTGCAAAAAAGGTAATACTGTATTTGAAAGAAAAAATTTTTAAGACATGTAAAACTAGGAGATCTGACAATAAGGAAAGAATTTCTCAGCAAATTTCCGTTTTCTGAATTATTTTATCTATAAGTGATGAAATGTTGCTAAAAGTGAACAGAGTTGTGGACAGTGTGGTGGTGGTGGTGGCATGATTCCATTTCGACAAGAATATGGTCTCACAATAGGGCCGAATTATTATTATAAGCTATGCTGTATTGATTAATGATCAGTTTTATTGATAAATAATGAGATATTAAGTGCAAACGTGTGCACTTCGATGCGTCAACTCTAGACGATGATGATATTTATGGTCTTCCACGCAGAAAAATTTTTCGACGATCCAGGAACTCGTTATTTTTTGGATTAGCGGTAATTTTTCCGTTTTTCAATATCTTCAGCATACTTTTTATCTAATTTATTAATTTAGAAATGTAGATCATCAAGAAAAAAGGTGTATTACGAAAATTTTTAAGATTTGCTAAGTTTCTGACTCAAAGTTTTTGATCTAATGTTTCGATTCTTAAACTTTTTAAATTTGGCTAAGTAGAAGTGGAAGGCCAGCATTTGTAATCAAATGAAAGATAAAGGTTTGCGTTTGCTTTAATTAAAGGAAGATTTAATTTGTACAAACTATACAAAAACTGTACAAAGTTAAACTGAGTTTGCAGGAATTGTCTTTTTAATGAACATTTTCCAGCCCGTTAAGCGTTCTGAACCAACTTCGCCTTCAAAACGATCATCTATACTACCTACCAACAAAAATCCTCTTGATGCAGTTTTTCCGCCACTAGTCGGGTCAGAGGAATTGATTCCACCACAAATATATCTCAAATTGGCTCCAACAATGAGGTATGACTCCCAATGCTTGTAATAATTTCTTTTAGTAATGATTAGAGGATATTTCATTATAAAAAATCTCGGCTAAAAACTGAATTTTTTTTCAGGATAATGCGACTATATTTTTTGATTTTATGAACTGAATTTGAAATATCATTTCAGTTCTCTTGCTCTGCGATCCCTAATGAAGTCACGTGGTGTTGCAACTGTTGGTGATTTGGCCTGTATGTCAGAGGAGGATATTGAAACATTTCCATTTAGGGACCCGAAATTGAGTCGTTTTCTGCGAGCACTTGAAGATCATTTCAGAATGGTACTTTTTCTTATTAAAAAGAATTGGCGGGAGAATTTTGATTGAAGACAATCACTAGAACTGTTCGCATTCCCGTGTTGCCCTTATTAAAAATCTGTAATGATATATAGATGAAATAATATGTTTCTCATAGCTGTCGAGCTCTGTTACATGCATTATATGCAAAGTAATTTGTTCTGAAATAATACCAATGTGGTCATGACCTCATTGGTATTACTTCCTGTCTCCATCTCTCTTGAATAAAACGAGTTAAAAGGTATTTAATTTTTGTCAGAATTGAAATTTGCAGAATGTTTTTTAATTTATTGTGGAAATGTGAATTTTATTCTAGAAGAATATGGTAAGCAAAGAGGATGCCATTGAACTGGAGAAAATCATGAAACGTCCAGTGAATTCGCCGTCTGATTGCTTGAAGAAAGTTAATCTCCAACCTACTGACAAATATAAGGCACTTTCTCCTGTAACAGTGCAAGAGCCGCTGATTGCTGATGTTCCTGAAGCATTAAATAAAACAGTCTCTGGAGCTTTCGAAAATAAAGTTAGCAAAACCTCAACTGAACAAAGTTATGTGAATCCGTTCCAAAATGGTTTCAACCGATTTACACCTTGTTCAGTCAAACGTTTGGTTAACGATGAAACCGATGAAATGGTTAATTGTCCGAAAGAACCAGATTTGGAAATTAGTCAAAAGAACCAAGAACAAGGTTGCTATTTTTTTTTTTTTTTTTTTTTTTGTTTATGTTACATTACTCTAACGCATCATGCTATTTAAATAGATTTGTCTTCCAAGCTATCTGTTCTTGGTACCGCTTTTGTAGGACGATATAGGCTACTATGTCTAACTGGTGCTAGCAGCTCATCTCAACCATAATATATGCGATCATTTCAGAAATTTAGCAAATTAATCCCTTACTTTATAATTTTAAAAACTCATTGTAGTATCAAATCAGTCAATTCTTAAGCTCGTGAAAAAAAAAAAATGATTTCTGATATTAGATGTTCTTATGTGCGTCTAAATATAATGATCTATAATTCATTTTTTAAATGGTTTGTTCTAGGTAACAATCGGTCTCGATTTGGTTTTCTTCATCCCTTCGTAAGGAGTCATAAACCAGTAAATAATGATGACTCAGTATCGATGATTGCATTGGAGAAAAGCGATGCACACAATTGTGTAGGCTCTTCATCCTTATCAGAACATGACAATGGAGAAGAAAAGCTAGCTATGAAGTCATCGGAAAAGTTGTCGGATAAAAGTATTGAAAGCAGTGAATCAAGGGAAAATAACAATATGAATAACATGAAGCTAGGAGGAGATGCGGATAAACTTTATGATGTGAATGATTTTCTCAGAAACGCATATCGTATATTTCTTGAGGATTCAGTTGTTGCAGCAGTAGCAGGTATCTTTGCCAACAGCGTTTTAATATTTTACTGATTTTTGATGAGTTCGTTATAAGACCACCTAACACTTAATAATTATTAAATTAAAAACTAATCTAGGCGAAATTCATTCTGAAACATTCGTATTCAAACTACGCTCTATGTTATCCATAAAATCGGTTCACAACCTAGATCATAACTCACTATTTGTTTAACGTCACTTGTGAATGGCCAGCTTGCCTAAGGGACTCTTTTCATTAAAATTAAATTAGTGGGAATAGTTTGAGTTTTTCAAGATCCCAAAAGAATTTTCATATCATATTATTTCAGGTAAATGCCCAATAAAGAAATTTAGCAATGAACAATTACTCTCTTTTTCTCAAGCATGTGCTTCTTTCCAAATGGCAGTTCTGAATTCATCAAAGAAGATCAACGAAGAATAATATTAAGCTTTTACCTATTCATTTATTACTGGAGAAAAAAAGACTGTCATAATGAAAAAGAAAAAAAAAGGCACATAGTACAGACTCGTTTGAGTCACTTCTAATTAACTTGTTTAATATTATACGCACATTTCATACCTAACAATTTATTACTTATATCTTGCCGTGATTTTCGATAAGATTTTATACTCTTCCGTTTTTTTTCTTATACTGTTTAATTCTTTCCGACATTTATGCTATGTTTATGTTTTTAATTTATGTGAGACTTAGTAAAATTAAGCTTTTGTGAAGAATGATTATTTTTACCAGTCAGTTCAGTTAAATTGTTATCTAATCAATGATGGATTGCTTGTTATCTTTTTGTTTCGTTGGTACTGTACGAAATGCTTGTACTTTGTACTTTATTGTGAGATTTATACTGGTAGTTTCTGCTTATTTCGTGCTTGACAACCATGAAATAAAGGTTGTTTGAAAAATGGAAAGAAAAGTAGGTCACTATTACCCTAATAACTTGCATGGTTCATCTCAGAAAGGAAGCCAAGTTTGAGTGCCCAAGTGATTTCCAGTACTTCTCCTAGTTAGGCAGCCTAAAGAAGTTTCTGTTGTTGCATACGAATTCCTGACAAGAATATACATGGAGAAGTTCGTGACCAACCTCAGTACTTTCATCAAGAAGGTGTGGTCCAGTTCTCAGGTCCGGTCCAATATGCGATACATTGGTGCTGTATTCCAGGATGTGTTCGTTCGGTCGCTGGTTATGTCGTGAGAAGGTGTTTGCTTCGCTTCCCACTTGCTTTCGACAATCGATAGCCTGGGTTGCTTACCGTTCTAACTTTTTTTTTTTTTTCGTAATGCAAGAGAAGAGTAGCTAGCACAACTATCAATGCATGTAATATGGTGCTTGTTGAGAATTAAAGAGACAGTCTTTTAAAAATTACTGATCTATTCAGTTCTGATTTATTCAATTAGAGATTTGCATAATTGTGGAAGTCTTTAAGAACAATCTTGATAATCATAGTCTTTGTACCGTTGTCTAGTCTTAACCTTATGCATGTATCGGTAGTTCAGTGTACATAGAGAATGAGCAAATAAAGGGAGAGTGAATGCAAATATAGCAGAAATTTACTTTTATTTTGTACTTTTGATAAAAAATATCAAGTTATCTAATTTATTATTTATATTAGATAAGCGAGTTTAACTATAATTTTTTAGGGAAACTAAATACATTATAAAATTAGCTCACTTTTATTCCTTATCATTTCAGATAAAGTTGCAAGTATTGATTTGACTTTATTCATATATTATATTGATTGACTTTATTCATATTCTTTCAGGCTTCGCATAAGTCATCAAAACAAGGAAAACCATTGAGTGGACAGGTTGCTTTGGTAACCGGTGGTGCGCGAGGTGTTGGTAGAGGTATAGCATTGCAGCTAGCTGAAGCTGGTGCAACGGTATATATTTCGGGACGGAAACCGGGTTCTCCTGCCACTATACCTACTTTGCATGATACCATTAATGGTTAGGTTTTGTCTCATTTTCCTCTTGTTGAAATTGCAACCTTTTTCAATACATGCAAAAAAGCATGAGAGAGTTTTTGATTTTCTGTCATTATTTATTCTTCAACTGATAATATTTATCAGTAGTTATAGTGATGTTGCAATAAATAAGTTGTAAGCTCTCATGTTGCAGATAGGAACATATAAGAGAAGAATTATGACTTGGAAAATAAGTGATAATTTTCTTCTCATGTAACTTAAATAAAAAAAAAATTATAATATTTTCAGAAATTTCAAGCAGAGGTGGTAAAGCCATTGCAGTTTACTGCGATCATAGTAAAGATGGTGAAGTTAAAGAACTTTTTGAAAGAATTGTGAAAGATGAGAAGAATCGATTGGATGTGTTGGTCAATAATGCTTTTTCAGGAGCCGCTGTATGTTTTTGTTGGGAACGTTAAATAAAGTATAGAAATAATTGTATTTTGGAGATTAGTATGTTATTAATAAATATCGGGTATTTTTCACTGTTAAATTACTTGACCATTAGTTTTCAGTTGCATATGAATTCAGTTGCTTTTTTTTGTTCTGCTTAGGAACATATTTGAGACTGACCATCTGTCATTTACTTTTCTTTTACTAATTTTTTATTCTCTAAGTTAGCAATGATTGCTTGATGGGTGAAGTCATATGTTTATTTTGATATCTATGATTTAGATTGATCAGCGAAAAGATCAGTGCTAATTAAAGGAGAACTGATATAAAATTACTGAACACTTAATTTTTCAGGCAATGGAAAAAAGTGTCGGCAAAAAATTCTTCGAATGTCATCCATCATTTTGGGATGAAATAAATAATGTTGGTTTGCGAAACGTTTATATTTGCTCAGTATTAGCTTCACGCATTATGGTTCCACGCCAAAAAGGATTAATTGTGAATATCAGTTCAGCGGCTGGCGTGCGATATTTTTTTAATGTACCCTATGGAGTGGGTAAAGCTGCTGTATGTTTTTTTTTTTGCTTACATTGATCATTGACAGCTTTATACATTCAAGACTTTATATATTCAAGCTGATTATCAGTTGATGTGTTAACTGTTATGATATATGATTATTACAGCTTTTTTTTTTACTAATAATTTCAGTAATTCCATGTAAAATTTAATGAGAATTCTTTATTTTGTGTCTTATCGTTTTATATGTCTTATATACCATTTTGAAGACATTTAACTTGTAAAATTTTCTCAAAACTTAGATCGATAAAATGTCCGCGGATATGGCCGAAGAATTGAAACATTATAAAGTGGCGGTGGTATCATTATGGCCTGGAACAGTAAAGACTGAAAAATCATACGATTGGTTGCGGTCTGGAATGCTGAGTAAACTTACGAAAATACCTCAGGTGTTTAATTTTATTTTACAGTATAAATCTTACTTCTTTGTATTTTTAATAATTCATATGTACTTGATAAAAAATCTCTTTTACTTCTTCAGTGTTTTGGCCTTGGCACTTGTTTATGTTAACTTCTTTCTAGTCACATTTCACTTGAATGTCATATCATGTTTTGAAAAGCAATGTCTAAAATCTTTCACTATTAAACGAACTCTGCATGCATATTAAAAATTAGTGACTATGACAAACACTGTTACTTAATAACTGCAGGCTCAAATAGAGCGTATGATAGAAAGAGGAGAAACTCCTGAATTTGTTGGACGAGGCGTGGTATGCTTAGCTTGCGATTATCAAATATTAAAAAAAACTGGATGTGTACTTTTAACGGGTGATTTATGCAATGAATATATGTTTCTTGATAATGATGGTTAGTTGTTTACTATCATTGTTAGGTTTGATTATTTGAAATTATTTGGTTTTAGATATAGCAATCTTTGAAGTCTTTTGATTCTTGTTTTTAGTTTTCAACTATGATTTTCAATGGATTGAAGTGTATTATGTTATATTGAATAATGTGTGCAAATATTTTCACATTATCATTATATTTTCATTATTTCCTTTTCTTTTCAGGAAAAATCCCTTCAAATATGAGGAGTGTAAGCGTTGCATTGGATTTCTTCGGATTCACATCAGCAGCGAAATTAATACCAAGCTTCTTGAAAATTCCAGCCACATTTCTTCATTTGTCATCCAATAAATTTTATAAGCTATAAATTGCATTTGTTTAAATTAAACTTGTCTTTTTTGAAATCATATCCAAATAAGCTGCAGATTGTGGTACTATTAAATTTTACTAAATATTAAAATGAGCAGGGATATGTCTTTTCCAAAACAATGACAAGAAAAAAATTGGAGCTAACGTAGAGTTTAAAGGTTATCAATTCTGTACATTCTGTAAAATTAATTTATTTACATTGTTTGCAGTGTTCAAATATAATTCTTAGTCGTTGCTTTTTATTAGAAATAAAAACGGATACGAGTAGTGTAGTTGTAAAGTATTTTGGAAATAAAAAAAAGAAAAAAAAAGAAATATGTTGAATTTGAAGGAAGTTATCGGTCTAACCTTTGTTAATATGCATTATTCTTTTGATAGGATCATATTCTCTCGAAATGTAATACATTTTTGCATTCTCTTGTTTGTCTATTTGATCTAATTTGTATTGAACAGATAAAATAAACTTAATTAAGCAGTTATATTTTTAGAACACATTATACTTGCAAATTTTTTAATCATAATCGTTAACTCCTTATTTGTTGCAATTAATCATTACTTGTTGTATTAGTGATAATTATATTAATTTAGACATATTTACTGTCTAAATTTCATCATTTATTTGTTACAATTAAGATAATTATGGTTTAAAACTTCTGAAGGTATAATAGACTGTTTATCATTTTATTAAAAATAACTAGTAGCAAAAAAAGAATTCGAAAATATGGGAAAAACAGTGTGACAATCTTTTTTTTTATGTAGAATATTTTTTATCCATCAAATTTGTTCATATGTCTTTCTATCTTTCCCTTGTTAAACTCGACTCAAATTCAGCATGAACCTAGTAAATGAGCAGAGCGGTCATGTCAATACTGTACGTATTGCGCTCTTCAAAAAAGAATAACATTGGATGTTTATCATGCTAAAAAAAATCAAATTTTTTCTATCGGTGACATTATTAACATTTGATCACATGAAACATTTTTATTTATAGCAAAACTGATTCATTCCAAATTTACAGCATTTCATTTTCATCAGAGTTAAAAGGAAACTAAAAGTGTTAGAAATATTTCACATTTTTTAGTAGCAGTGTAAATAACAGATGGATTTATTTTATCTAATAATGATATCTGAAACATGCTTTATAATTTATAGCTTATTTTATGCTTAATAAAATGTATGAAAATAATTGTGCCTCTGCAAATTCATTTTTTACACCATTTTTTCTTCTTCTTTTTGTGATAATTCATGTGAGTACAGCATGAAAACTTCAGCGATGCAAATCAGCGCTAACCATTTGGAGCTTTTAATTAATTAAGCTGTGAGAATATAATATAATGTTGAATTAAATTTAAATTTTCTTTTTCTGTTAACAGTTTTTTGATTTTTTGCTACCATAATTAATATAATTGGTATGAAAATAATTGTTTCAGTAAATTTTTACGTAAAATTAATAATTTAAAAAAAAAATGCTACTCAATAGAGTAAGTTTTAATCTTGATGTGGCATCAAATAGGACTAAATAATTCGTTAAAATTCATCACATCAAATTTCATTTCTCTCTTAGTGCAAATTAAAAGCTTTTATGCATCTTATAAGCAAGCATAAATGCAAATAAAAAATGATAAAAACGCGTAACATTGCAATTCAATAACTAAACTTTTAGATGAAAGAAAAAAAAAAAGAAAAAGAAACTAAAACGGAAGATAAAAAAGAAAAAGTGAGATTCATATTGTTGTGTGAAAAAAAAAAAAAAAAAAACTTTAAATGTAAGTAAAAGTTAAAATTAAATGCTCTATATGCCCGTGAATAAACTTTTTTTTTTACTTTTCTAGCATATAACAACGTAATTATTTTCTGACAACTAATCTTTTTTTTTAACTTTTTGTTTTTTGATGTTTTTAATTTAATTTTAATGAATCTGTTAGAGCAACAAAAAACAAAAAAGAATCAGAGGATAAAGCTAATTTTTCATTCTTTAACTAATACATAAAATAAATTAATAATAAAATTAATTATTACTATAATTAATTATTACTATCATAATTATTATTATTACTTTACTTTACTTTGTTTTACTTTATTTTCATTTATTCATTCTTCCATTTCTCAATTTTATATGACACGGAAGCATATATGCTAATGTTTGATTGAGTGTACTCAAATCTTTCCTGAAAACCTATTTGCTACGCTCGGCACTTTTTCCTCTCATTTACTTTTATTTATGTGACATTTTTTAAATGCTATCAAAATATTTATTTCATAACAGATGAAAAATGATTCATTTTTGTGAAAAAAAAAAAAAAAAAAAAAAGCAGTTTACATGATGCTTTTTGCTTTTGAAGGCATTTGCCATAAATAATTTAAAATAACCTCAACAGATATTTATATAAGTTTTCTTTTTTAACTTGTTACTCTTAAAGTATTTGCGTGCAAGTAATTTAGTGTATGTAATTTAAAATAGCTTGAATATATTTATAAGTGCTTTTTTTTTTCTCTTTGTTTGAATATCTATAAATTTATGAAACTTCCAGTAAACTTTCATAGATCATTCAATTTCAACAATGTATTGTCTGCTACAACTATTCAAATTGTTTAATAAACCTTTTCTTTTCTATTTCTAAGATAAACTAAATTATTTTTGTATTTTTATTTTTTTTTAAATTAATATTTCTCCTACAATAAACTTATATAGACAGTACGCAGCATGAAAATTTTTGAAAAAAGAAAAAAAGAATGGAACAAAAGTAATTTTACTTCACATAAGGTCAATTCAGGTTGCTTATCAATGTGCGATTACTTTGGTTTCAATTGAATTCATCCAATAATCTTCAATCTATTATTATTATCTCTGCTTGCTTTTCAATTTCGCATCCGTTTTTTTTTTTTTTTTTCTTTCCTTTTCAACTTTAAGTGCTGATTGGATGTTTTAAACCAAAATGAAACGAAAAAAAAGAAAAAAGAAACGAAGTGTTCATAAAATTACGGAAGCATAAAATAAGCCAGTTGGATACAAAATTCTTCTACATTTTTTCTTTGCAATTTGAACTATTTTGTTGAAATTATTTTGTATTTTTCCATTTTCCAACAAATAAATCATTTTTGAAAATAATGTCATTCCTTTTTTTTTTTTCAATAACAAAAAATTTTTTAAATTTCCTAATTTTAAATTTCAAACAATTGGTAATTTTATGACTATTTTTACATGAATTATAATTGAACATTTTGAAACAAGTCAAGATGGCGAGAGAAAGAGCACTCAATATGAGATGTTTTGCATTCTTAAATTTAATTTTGGAATTCATTCAAACTTAATTTTGTTTAGTGCAATGTAATAATTAAAACAAGAGGATGGGAAAGGAGAAATAGAGAAAAATAAAATTTGTTATTTTCTAAAATGAAATTGAAATTCAATAAGAAAAATTAAGTTTATTTATACATTTGAACATTCCAGATTGTAAACAATGGTATAATTTTTCAGCTTTTATTGTTTCAGGCCATAATGATATGCTTCACTTTATAATGCTTCAATTCTTCGGCCCTATTCGCAAACATTTGATCGATCTAAGTTTTTTGAAATTTTTTCTATGTTAAATATCTTCAAAATGATGATACTGATAAAATGATAAGACACAAAACAAAGAATTCTCATCAAAATTTACACTTTTTAGCAAAAAGACTAATAATAATCACGTATCTCTCAACAGTTAAGATATCAACTGATAATCAGTAGCTTAATCAGTTCAATTTAACTCTGATTGATTAATCTTGAAGTTGCAGTTCCATATACGGAAAATATCTCAGATTAGAATTTTCAAATTGAAATATAAATCTTTCAGCAATGTTAAATTAACAACGATTAGTAAACATTTTTAGTAACTGAAATTCATACACATAAAGCTATCAATTATTACTGCAAGCAAAAAAGCTTACAGCGGTTTTACTCATTCCATAGGGTACGTCAAAAAAGTATCTCACGCCAGCCGTGAAATTAAACCTTTTTGGCGTGGAACCATCATGCGTGAAGCTAATACTGAACAAATAACAACGTTGTTTATTGTGATATTACATCATTTGAATAGATGATAAAACCAATGGAATTTCTTGCCAAATTAATTCTTCCTCTCTCCCTCTTCTTTTTCTCCCTCCTCTCCTTCTCTTTTTCCCTGTCTTTTTTTCCTTTATTTCTTTCTACAATATAGCTCAGTAAAATTCATCAAATAAAAATTACTTGAAAAAAAAACATAGTAATGCTATTTTACTGTTATCTACAAAAATTTACATATCACATAAGAGTTCAAAGGTTAGCTTTTCTCTTATCTTTTTCTTCTTTTCACTCCTTCATTCTTTGCAGAGAATTGAATCGAACAAATTAGAAATTCAAATTTATCATTTGCATACTCATCCATTTCTTTTGCCATCAATCTTTATTTACTACTACTATTACTATTATTGCTGATAGTAAGTTCTTACTTAGTGATAAAAACTTTAATCGTAATCACTCAATTCAGTTCACTATCATCATGAAATAGCTTCCACATTGATAATTTATTTTCTTCTTTTTGCTTTTTTTTTTTCGAGAGAGAATACCACGGCTATTGTCTTTCATAGTGAAAAGTCCAAAATGCCTGAATAATTTGAGAGAGCATTTCACACGAAAATTAATCTTCACTTCGATGATAGGTACTGACACTTCCTTTGAAATCATTATATGTAAGTAAATAAAATATCATTTTATTGAAATATTGATATTTGCCCAATCTTTCATGGGTATCTATCAATTTATCTATTCAACTATCCATTCATTTTCTTCCCAATAACACTTTCCCACATGACAAATGTGCCAAGCAAAGAAAAAAGAGAAAAAAAATGTTAATGCGATCATATTTGACAAGTGAGAATCGTAAATCTTTGAATTTAAACTACTTTCAATTTTTTTCTCCTTTCATTCATTTGTCATATTTTGTTAAAATTTTGTCCAAATATTTTCCTTTTTTTTATCTTTCATAAATGAATTTTACTTTTTTTTAATCTTTCATAATTTTATTCTTATTACTTACAACTTTTTAAACTATTTAGAATAACAACTCATTCAATGTGCTAAACGATGAATCTCTTTGTTAAATTATTAGCAAACAAAAATTTAAGTTAGATTTTGAATGAATCACAAAATTTTCTCCATTAGATCAATTTTATGGTTATATTTCAGATCAGTGACGCATTTTAATCTGCAAATTTTTATTAAGCTTTTTTTCTGTTGAAATTATATTAAAATTAATTTATTATAGCTTCTAAATTTTTATTTTTTTATCATCTTTTAGAGGATAATTCACTTTCTTGATGATTGCATATTTTTAAACTTTTCAACTTTTATATTTCTTCATTTCCACCATTTTATAGCCCTTTTTTTAAATGATATCAAATATGATCTAGTATTTTCTTCTAGTGTACTTATGATCATTATGAATTCTTGAATGGATTAGCAGTACATTAAATCTGATAAGGAATCAAAATCATCCGTTTTGGCTCTATTCCATAAATCAATTGATCAGCATTGATTTCAAATAAACCCATCCCTATTTAATTATTTCTCAAAAATTTTTTCGCTTCCATTGATATTTTGCAGCAACTGTATTCCATCATATTAGGGAATGATGAGAATTCTTATCACTTTAAGTGATATAATTTCACGTTATTTCTTAATCTGATAACTTAGCAGTTACTATTGTTGTTCTTCATTGAAAATGAAAATTCAACTGAGTGAAATGTATGCATTGATTATTGTAACTACTAATTGTATTATAATTCCAGAAAATTGAGAAAATCAAAGGAAGAATTTTCTCACTGATGATGGAGTAATGAATAATAACATCCTGCATCATATTCTAGCTGATAATTAAAATTTATTGATCAAATTTTACAAAATGGGTAATCATATTTCATGGAATAAAAGGAAGAAAGCAATTATTGATACATTGAATAATCGTACTGGTGGTGCTTCTCGAAAAATGCCTGATTCTTCTCGGAAAATGGCGAAATGTCAGATTAGTGTGAAATGTGGCAAATATATTCCAGATGAACAGCAAATGTCAACCACTCAAAAATTATTTCCGGAAAGGCTAAAATCAAATGTATCTTATGATAAAAATGATAAAGTGATCAAAAATGATAAAATGAGCACACAAAGTGTAAATGATAAGAAATGGAAATCAAATTCAGAAAGTGATACGCAACTTTTTATACGACCAAAATTAGTTGATGAAATGAAATGTGATAATTCGAATGGTCAACGAAAAAGTACTGGAAGTGGCACAAAGCGTAATCAATCGTTAACTCGAATGAGGTTCATAAGTAAACATTTTTATAACTCCAGAATATCTCAATAATTTTTTTTTTTTTTTTTTTTTTTAAAATCAGATAATAAAGTCAGATTGAGATTGAGATTACTGGCAGATTTATTGTGATTAGAAAGAAATAACCTTATTAGCATGCAACAAGCTTTAGGCTAACAAGTAATGTCTCAAATAGCGTGCAGGAACATAGAGATAGCCCGGAGAAAAATAACGCGACCCGGTCTTATCAAGCTTTAAAAAATTGCCCATCGAGATATTCTGGAGAAAGATAACGTGGCTCAGTCTTATCAAGCTTTAAGAGATGGCCGATCAGGATATCTCAGGGAAAAATAACGTGCCCAGTTTTATCAAGCCTTTAAGAAATGACCTCATCAGATAATTTAGAATCAATTTAAAAACAAAAATAGCATTGAAAATATTTTAGTTAATTTTGTGCAATCAATAAAGTATTTGCCTGTAAATAGGAAAAAATGATAACTGGTAGGAATCATAAACTCAGTGAAATATTTTTGCCCTCACATTTCATTTTCAAAATATAAAAGTATTTTTTAAAAAATATCAAAAATATTTTTATTACAATAGGAAAAACAAATTAATAATAGTAATATTAATAATAATAATAATAATAATAATAATAATAATAATAAGAATAAATAATAATAATAATAATAAAATATATACATACATTTATTTATTCATATTTATTTATGATAAGGATTCTCTTCTACTCCGTTCACTTTCATTTCTGATTAAATTTAATAACAGTCAATGTATTCTATATTATTTGCAATAAAGTTATTTTTTTAGTTCCAAAATACATTTTTTAATGGAATTAGAAATTGATTTTTAATTTTATTGAGTTTTTTTCACAGGCAGTTCCGAAATAATTTATTCAGGTCATCGAATCTCAACGAATCACGTCAATACTTTCGAAATAATAATTCTGATTATCGTGGAACTCATCCAATTTCACCTCAAGGACGTGAAATTATTCAGGCTTGTTTCGGCAATCATCACAACGAAATTGGTTATCGTATTTGCATGCGAGTTTTTGAAAAGCGTACTGATTATCAAAGGTTTCACTTTAATAAATATCTAAATTAGGAAAAGAAAGTATCAATTTCGATTGTCAAAGTTATTTTGTCGAAAATGTGTTGCATGAAAAATGTTAAAATCTTTATCAGAGATGCAAATAATGTAGGAAATAACTGAAATAATTCAATTCATTTCAACTGAAATTTATGGTAATATTGAATAGAATTAGATGAAATTAAGCTTGGAATGTTATAAATTTTACTTCGTTTATTTTGCAGATTTGTTTATGCTCTGGGAAGGGAAAAATGGTTAAGTGCTTCTGCTGAGCTCCGTGATTACTTGAATAATGTTGTAAGTAAGGTGAGCTATGCCAAATAGAATAATCTTAACTGAACTGATAGCTCACTAAATTTCAAATAATTATTAAACTTCATGTAATAGATTCTTTGTGAACGATATACTAGATTATCAACAGTAATACTAAGATTATAAGTGATAATTATATTACCAATATTACAAATAGTAATTGAATAATATCATCATGAGTGATAGTTCAATAGCACATGCATGATTACAATAGCCATAGTTGAATAGTATTATCTGGACTACGAGTAATAGTTAAGCAGTATTATCGAGATTACAAGTAATACTTGAAGTGTTATCGAAATTACAGGTAATAGTTGAATATCAATGAAAAGTTGTTGAAACTTAAAGTTAAGTTTCATTTTAGGTTCACAATGTAGCAGCAGTGGAAGAAATGTCACGACACTATGGTGAAAGACATGTACCACTGAAAAAATATGGCTTTAAGCCTGATTTTTGGGTCAGCATAGCTGATGCTATGGCAGTTGAATGTGTTATATTGGATATGGCTAATCATCAAGTAATTAATAATTAGTTCCTCAATTAGCATGTTTCTAGTCAAAGCTAATATTCTGATATCTGATTACACTATATGTTATCTAATTTAAGAATTCAATGAACTTGAAATGAATTTTAAATGGCGTATTTTCAAGGCAACATTAGTTATTATTAAATTTCGCATAATTTAAATGTTGAATTTGTAATTTTAGCCAACGGAAACAGTTATGGCGTGGTCACAGCTAACATCGCTAATGTTTACCTCAATCCGTGACGGTTACTATGCAGCCTTAAGATTTCAACGACAAACACTTAAAAGTTGTAAGAATTCAGAATGGCATCAACCTGTTGATTCTATTAGAAGCTCAAAGAAATATGCTACATCCATTACTGAAAAATTTGTAAGTTGATGGAGCTATTTAAAATCATTGAGATATTTGATATGTCAAATTTTGTTAGCAAAAAGTTAGATATTATTAGGTTGATTCGACAACTGTTTAAAAATACAATCAAGCAACGGAAGTATAATTAACAAATCTTGTTAATTAGAAAGCTCATTTTACTTGTTTTCGTTTTAATTTTCAGACATTTTTAAAACACCTACATCAGAAGTTTAAAAATTTGAGTGGTTTGATATCCGGTGAAGTTGCCTTGAAAACCTAGTTAAATAGCCTTCAGTAATTATTTTGCAAAATGAATGAAGAAAATTAAATCTTTTGCAGCAATGAGAGCTTCCTTCTTTTCAATTCCATATTTTCTAACATTATTAATTTTACAAGTATGACTCATCTTTCCAATCATTTCAGATTCATTTAGCATTCATAGAATTTTGCAGTTTTAATTAAAATTAGCAGTGTATTGTGTTAAAAGGAATGCAAATTATAAGGATCGGTCAAATTAGAATCACACATTAATTTCATTAAATTTACTACACTGTAATTATTCGCAATGTCTTCAATTCCTTGAATATAGTCAATGATTCAGAAAAAGAAAAGCAAAGACATAAACTCTGCACTGACTCAAATTAATATGTAAACTGAAGAAATCAAATATAATTAAAGAAATAGCACTGAAAATTCGGTTTTTGAAAAAAAAAAAAAAAAAACAAAATATGAGAGTCAATGGTTTAGAAAAAGAAAGAAGACAATAAAACAAAGAGCAAAAACCTATTCAGCGCTATTCAATTATGTTTGACTTCTTTAGTTTGCAAATTAATTCGAATCAGTTTTTAAAATTGTTTTTAAAATTATAACTATCATCATTCTTCTTCTTTTTCGTCTTTAGAAATTGAAATAAACAAATGTTTCTCATTAAATATATTTTGATATTATTGCATTTGTTTACATACGATAAATAACAAATTTACTATCTTTGTTTGCAAATATTTATTTATGAATTTACTCGAATTATTTCATAATTCTTCAATAATTTGAATTTCATTAATGAAGAATACATCTCATTTAGTCTATTTGTAATGTTTACAGATTATAGCAATAAATGAATTGATATTTAGATTTTTTTTTTCTTGAGGATACCAAGAAATCTTGGTAATGTTTGTTGTATAGTAATAATATTAGTTAATATTATATTAATCTTAGATTATTTACAATTACTGATAGCGATAAGAGTAATTATTGTATTCGTTGAGATCGGTTGTTGTTTTCTATCATTTTCCAGTATTTGACGAATGTAGCATTTTACAAAATAGCATTGCTACTTCTCATTGGCTTAATATTGTTGTTTATTTAGGATAAGTTCATTTAACCAATAAGTATTTACATCACCTGCAACATTAATTCACTATTTTAGCGCTTTTTTATAGGATATATTCCAGTTAAAAAAAAAAAAAAAATAGTGAAATAAACAACCTTTGCCTTTCACGTGTACTACTCCACGTTTTGTAAGATTATATTTGGAATTTTCCATTAAAATTTTTGCTGTACTTTCAGCTACTTGTATTTGATTAGCTTCACAATTACTTTGCATTCGAGAGGCAAAATTTACCTGAAAAATAAAATTCCTCAAATGTTTAAGTTTAAAATTTTTATTTCTAAGATGTTAGAAATGTAGCAAATTTACATAAATGAAGTTGATCTCTTTTTTTTCGAAAAATGTACCGTATCACCAAATAAACAGTATCTTGGTGACCGTAAACCGATAACACCAGCAGCGATTGGACCACAATGAAAACCGATACGAACACGAAGATGCCAGTTTGGGGCGGCAGTGACCTTATAAGCGAAAGTTTTCTGCAGTAGATAGAATTATTGAAATTATCAACTTTACAATAATATTAACATAAATCATGTAAGATATGTAGCGGAAATGTTTATTTATTTTTTTTATTGCAAAAGGTGCTTATTTTTTTGAATAAACAAATGATTACCTCCCGTATTTTAAGTGCAATTTCAGCAATTTCAAAAATATGCCGACCACCATTTTCCCTTGGTACTCCTGATGCCATCATGTATGTTTCACCTGTCGTTTCAACTTTATAAGCATCGTGACATTTGATTACTTCATCGAAAGTCATGAAGGCTTCATTTAAAAAGGAAATGACCTAAATGATGATAACACGAAAGATTAAATCTTCTCAGCTCTCAATCATTCCATATTTCATTGAAGAGAAATAGAAAAACAACAATAATTAGACTATTTAACTATATATGAAATAATATTTAAATTCATTTTTACTAATTGCTAGTAGTGTAATGGGTAAACTTTATTGAAAATAAAATATGACATTTACAAACGTATCACAGTCGAAGTCTATTGCTTGTTGGAAATTTTGAAAAAAAAGTAATAATTTTTATTCACTCTATTAGATAATAATCTCGGGGAATTACTAATAACTGGGAGATATTACAGACCTGCTCAGGTGTGCAATGCTCCATCAAATACATAAATTCAACAATCTGACAGAATCCAACTGTAACTGATTCATAATTTCGTGGAATGATTGTTTCTCCTGCTTTGAGTTGTGCTGCTATAGATCTAACAATATTATCATTTAAAACTTTCATGCAATATAATTTAATCATAAAAGTTAAATCGTAAAACTTTCTTTTTTTTCCAAAAAAAAAAAAAGTAGAAAGCTTTTTTAAAGTTATTTTACATTGTATAATAAAATAATTTTAAAAAAAAAGAAAGAAAAAAACAAACGGTGGTAGCATTTCGCAAAGTAAACGATCAGTTTGTTCTTGTGCTTCAACTAAAAGTGAAGTTCGTTCCGCAACGATATGTTCTAAGTCTTGTGCATATTTCTCGTTCATTTTAATCATTTGATCAACCAAGTTACCTTTTCTTAAAAAGTTATGATATGAAAGATAAAAAAAAACACACAAAAAATAGTTTTAGTTAATATGATTAAGTTATTTAAAGTAACATAAGCTTCGAACATTCAAGAAGGGAATGTCAAAAGTAACTTAAAGCATTTAAGAAAACGAAGGTGATACTTGAAAAAAAATGTTATTATACTTGAAAAAGGAATGAAAATTTTTAAGATAAAGTAAAATCTTTTGGTTTATTTGTTGAACATATATTCTTCCTTCAGCAATTATTTGCTATATTTCTGGTATAACAAATATGATTTTATAACAAATTTGCTAAAAATCTACGAATTTGAAAAAATTGTTCCAATAGTTTGACGAATATTTTCAAGTTTTGGTCGTTCTTCTGGCACTGAATTCCAGCATTGGCACATTAATGTAATTAACTGCAAAATGTGTTAACTTTAACATTTCATCCGCTTAATTTACAAAAGAAAAACTACCTTAATGTTTTTCTTTTTTAACTATTTCGAAGTTTTCTTTTTTTTTTTCTTTCAGAATGATAGTAGAAAGAAAAAGAAAAGAAAAAATTATTTATTTGAGACTAACCGGATCACCGTTATCATTATCAATCTGTGGTCGCAATGATTTCTGAACAACATTATGAAGTACTTCTGCAAGTTATTTCCTTTTGTGAAAACGGTTGATTTCTTTTTTTGGACAGTTTCTAAGATTTTTATTGAATCAAAAACAAAGGATTATTTTTGGTAATTTCTAATATTTATTAAAACCTTTCAGTGAAAGTCGATCAAATGGCTTAATTCGAAAAATAATTGAATAAAGCATCATTCCGAAGCTATAAATATCTCCAACAGCGGTTCCTTTTGGAAAGTTCCATCCAATTTGAATACCATTTAATAATTCCGGTGCAACTGTGATGTAAACTGAAAACAAAAAGCACAAAATTTGTAAAAATCTATTTGAATATTTTTCAGATTATTAAAGTTTGATCTTATTTAATTCATCCACATATATAAATGCTTGCTACTGATATGGATATGCTATTAATCATAATTTGTTTTGACTTACTCTATCTATTGTTTTTTTAATTTTTCATACCTTAAAAAAAAATGACTAACATTGTTGAGGAATTAATTCTATAGTACGTATATAATTTTGATCAATTAATTCATTCAACATAGTTGAAATTCCAAAATTTGTTAATTTAAGAACCCAGTTCGTATCAATCATACACGTTTTTAATGATAACAATCCATGATATCCAATCGATGACTTATGCAAATATTGTAATCCCTGAAGAAAAAGGTATTAGTTCAATCCCTGAAATACGTGAATAATTTCAAAGTCAAAAATGTGATAATTTATTTTGAAACAATTTTTTACTCCTCCCATACGTTGTTTTCTCTCACTATTTTTATATTTGTTGTGTTTGACTTAGAGATCGTTTAATTTTATTACTTTAGTTTAGGATGATTTTTATGTCATTTTTTTCACTTTTTTTTTTTTTTTTTTTTTAGAATAATCAATACCTTATTGGTATGTATACACTGATCAAAATTATTATTAAATGATACTAGTGATAATATACCTTTAAGATATCCCTGATAAATGCACACTTGAATGTATCATCCACGTTGAATTGCTGATCATAGATGAAGTCTTCTAGCGACGCTCGTTCGATCAGCGTATGTAACACGTAAAAACGATCCAAATCATTGTAGCAAATTCCAATAAAATTTGTTAAGTTGTTGTGATTCAATGATTTCAATTCATAAAGGAATTTCAATTGCGCTTTATTCCATGGAATTCGTTTATACTGTTTGAAACACATAAATTCAGCTTTTAAAGTACCAACCAGTGCATATGAATCCAATTGTCGACGTTTATGACTTAAGTTATCACTTATTGCATGTTCTTTAGACTAAAATAAGTTCAACATTTGAAAACAAAATTTAATAGTGAAAAAAAACAAACAAATAAATGAACGGACGCATCCATTTCAGCGAAGCTAATAAAATATGATAAGTGTAAAAGTTTTTTTTTCATATAAAAAGTTAACTGACCCGTTTTGTTTCAATAACTTTTAAATCCTCTTTTGAAATTTTCCACATCATTCGATATGCTTCCATATGCTTCCTGAAAATTTTGCCATTCGCTATATAATTCGTAATTCATAATTATAAAAGCTAAGCGCTAATTTTTAAATAAGATGCAAAATGCTTAATAGTCCAAAGTAATTTAAAAATTTTAACAATTACATCAAGAAATTATTCCAGCTGTAAGTGTAAAAGTCAAAAAAAAAAATTGTATAAACTTTTCTTAAAATCCCATTTAATATTTATCGTGCTTGAAACTTAAACAAAATATCAGCTCCCATTAATGTTTTTTTTAGATTTCTAAATAATACTTGTCTAACCTAATATTAAAATAGCAAAGTCTTCATATTATTAAGTTACATACTTTCCGAGTTAATAACAACCGGCAGCATTGGTACACTATTGACTCTCATTTCAATTAAAATCAATTTTTCGACTCTTCTAAATTATGTATTTCAAAATGACTTATTGGTTGTTTATTTACTTTTTTCTATATAAATAAAAGCCGATTAAGCAGAGCACTACGACAATAGCACAACTTATAACCACCATGGCAATAGTAGACAAAAAAGATTTCTTGCATTTAATGCATCTTGTGATGGTAATATTTCTGTATTTGTTCCAGAATTCGTCATTTGTAATTTGCATTTCCTGCAATGTACGCTTTCTCTTTTCTTATCATTTAATTTAACTTATCATTGAATAAACAATAAAGCAAATAGATAAATTTAATTATAAAATTAAAAAAGAAAATCAAATGGACAATAGTTTTATCAAATAGTTAATTGATAAAGATTGGCATTCTTTGATACTTATTATATCTGACATGCAATTTTACTGATTCCTAAGCAAATCTGTTATTTTTAATTATTGCAAAATAAGTATAAAAAGTTTAAAGTAATCAAAAGAAAAAAAAAAAAAAAACAACGCTGTTACCAAATCAAAGCATTTGTTTCCATGTGTGCATTGAGCTTCAATCATTGATAATGTCATAACCCTTTGAAATTCATCATTTCTTGATGGCAACCATTGAAATGCATAATTTTGTAAACGTTTTCCTGCTCCATCTAACGTGATATTCCCAAATATATCTACAAAAATGTAAAATAATCTTACTTCCAAATAGACAGTTTTAATAATAAAAATCTTGAATTGAAAGTTTTTAAATCACTTAAATAATCTTTCCTATTAATTGATAATTAATAGCAACAATTATTTACAAGACACAGATAAGATATAGTAAGCATACTAATAAGCATACTTAAAAAAGTTTCATCTTATTTGCATCAATAATCAAGAATTAAAAGCGGAAGATGAAAATATTTTACAGACCAGTGAAATGCTGATTTCTCATAGATTGAGCAAATTTCTTGCCATTCACAGTTGAGCTATGTCGTGTACCAAAGCAAAAACCATAACATGCATCATACATTGTCACATACATTTCTATTTCCTCCTATGAAGAAACGGTAAATCTACAGTATCTAACATCTACAGTATCATACGCCTAAACGTTGAGTACCAACTATCAGGCATTCAGATATAATTGATATCATTAAAATAGTTTTTAAAAAGTTCAAATATACGATGTACTATGACATTAGTCTCTAAGAAACAATTACCATAGCCATTCTACCGTTTTCTATTCCATTTTCCACTTTCTTTGTTGTAAAAATGTACCTCTTTTATTGTGAAATTGAGCCGTTCGCTAAGCTTATCGACCATCACTTTATACTGTTCAATTATTGGAGCTAACTGAAAATGATTAGTAACTGTCAAAATCTCAAATCAGTTTGAATATGGTGCATTACTAATAAAACTTGTCTTTATAAGCTTACAATAATAATACTAGCATCAGCGACAATATGTTTAATTGAGCTTGTACATATTTCGCTAATTTGATTACATATCAAAATTATCATATAATGATCATCGCTGAGTGAAATCATTTCCAGATTACGAAGAACCATTCCAAGATCGTTGAAATCATCACCAATAATGATTGCTGGAACAGTTATACGTTTTTTGAATGTTTAATGCTTTAAATTTCAATGTTTTTCATCAAATAAAAAAGCAACCTGAAAAAATTATTAATTTATAGAATTGCAAAAAGTCGAGAGATTTCCAACGATTAAATTGAATCGTCCAAAATCACTGCTGATCTAATTAACGACAAACAAATAGTAAATGAACAAAAACGAAATGAAATTGAAAGATTTAAAAAACAATGTAACTTTCCATTCATATGAGAAAAGAAAGGCTTTCTGATAGGAAGCTAGACTTTTTAGGCTTTTCTTTGTTTGTAATTTGCATGTTTGGTATGGAAAAAGTTGCATTATAACTGAAAATAGTAGAAAATTCGCTGTTATTTTTGAATGTTTTCCAAATGATTTATTAAATTTCACTCAAGAGTTCCATTATCGTTGTCCTTGCAGATTTCTTGATATGATAACGTAAGTACTTACTACTTGTGGCTGTCCTAAGTTCTTCTGCAATAATTTTATTTTCTCTCAGCACATTTTCATCAATTTCAATGAATTTCTCTATGCTAAATGAGCGTTGTTGTTTTGCAGTTTGTTCGATTCCAGCTACAATGGAGTAATGGTCAAAGCTGCTTTCAGTAGAACTCACCAGAACTACCTGGAAGATTTACATTCTTTTATTTGTCAAATAGTAATTTACATTAAATAACTATTTGAAATTAGCTCTAATACACAAAGTTAAATTAAGTTGAACTAAAGTTAAAAATTTTAATTAATTATGCTAAGATAAACATGAAAGTAAGATAGACTAAATGAAGCTAAATTCAAACAAAAAGAGAGCACAAAAAAAAAAAAAAAAAAAAAAAAAAAAAAGAAAGTCGATGTATTCTGATTATGCCACATTAAATTGCAAGTAAAAAGATTTAATTTGAAATTAAATATGAATTATGTAATAAATATCAGAGGATTCAATTTTAGATGTAATAGATTAAATTCAGACTTTCTTTGGAAATTTTTTACCTTCAATTTAAGATTTATATACAAGAATAATTTGGAGAGTGAAAGAAATGATAATAAAATAAATTAAATAAATAAATAAAAAAAAAGAAAATGCAGTGTTGTACCGAAGTAATATTGAGATAATCAGTAAGTGATTTTATAGCATATGTGAAATCAAGCGCAGATGTACGACCAAATTGCACAACGGTGGGATATAGATCCTGATCACTGATAATGGGATTTGTAACAGCTCGTATCATAACTGGAGAATTCCAGAAACGAGCTAAACCAGCTATTTCTAATATTTCACTTTCACATCTCGAATTAACGAATGCCTTAAAATTGTTTTGTTAAAATTATATGTAAATTTTGATAAAACGGTCATAAACATCAACAAATGCACAAATGACAACCTCTACGTGTTCCTGAAAGTGAAAAGCTATAGCATTAGCTGTACCCTTTGCCGGATTATTTATCATACATGTCGCAGCATCTTGTATCCTAAATTACTATTTATTCAAACTTTTTTAAGAAACTTTAATAATATGCCATAAAAGATCAGTTTGGAATATTCCGCAACCACTAAACAATATTTACAGATAAGAAAATATTTGATGGATAAGAAATTATAATTTATAGATTTTTTTAAAGAATTTTCAAAATTTACAGCATTAAGCTTGCAAGACATAATAATAATTTCGGTTTATGTTGGTATTTTTGTTTCTTATTTTGATTGTTTGTAACAATTTTTTTTTCCTTTCAATTTTTAATACTAATTAGTGTGAGAAATAGTAAAAAGTTTATATAAGTGTACTGGATGATATTAGCAGTGCAATGTCCAGCATCTTGACCATCCTCTATGGCCATTTTGCATATATGCACAAGATTTTGATCACTTTCCAAAATGCCAAGTTTAATTGCACCACATAAGAGCGTAGATATAATAAAAAATAATACAATCATATTCCTTCCCATTTTTTGAAATAAAATCCAATTTCTGAAAATTTACCTCACTTTAACTTTATTTCTTAGTTGCAGTTGTATCACAGCGATCTGATTTGTTGGAAAATATTATAAACTCGTGAAAAAATGAGGACATATTTGAGAGATGAAAAAAGAAATGATAAATTAGATTTGTAAAAAAAATTAGGTTTTCAAGCACTTAATCACTTATCACTATAATTTCAAGTGAAATGAAGCAATTTTTAAAACTGACTTTTAAGGTTTTAAAAGTTCAAAAGAAATGCTAATCATTTTTTCATGAATAGATCAAACTTATCATTGTTTATCTTAAAAGTGATGAAATAATTGCAAATAGTTTTTGAAACAGTGATATCTTAAGATTAATTTAAATAAGCATACATTTTAAAATTTTTCAAGAAATAATAATATAGCTAATCATGTTAAGCAATGATATTGCTATTTCAGAATAAACAATAATATGACAGTTTACGATAAGCGTTGATATTAGTTCAGTTCAATTGACAATGTCTTCTAATTTAACACATTCAGTTGTAAAATCGATTTCTAACATAAATAACAGATTTGAGAATTGACTTAACTTATTTTAATAACAAACTTCTATCTCATTACAATGGATGAGGATGAGCTTAGCAACGAAGAGATAAGCGGTGAAGTACAAATTAGAAAATGTTCATCTTCATTAGTGATTTGCGCCGACTAGCTGCTTCATCAGATGAAATTGACAACTAACTTTCACCTTTGCATAATAACGACAGGTAATAATGGCTACCTTGAAATGAGCCAACTCTTCATCTCCAATTGCATTCGATTTACAGATCCATGCATGCATTTAATGGACTTCCATCGAATATATTAGCATGCAGCAGTTTTGCGTGCATTAAGCATGTTAGCACATAGTTCCAGTTGCATCAGTGATGATAACTAAATATTATACAAAAATAGTTGTATCAGAAGTATTAGTGGACACAGTGATAATGATGTCAAGAAAAGATATGCTCTAGTCTATCCTTTGAAAGGTTCAAAGGTTAATTAAAAGATCAGAGTTTTTAAAAGGTCTGAATATAATGCAGAAGTTATGCAGTAAACATTGTTAAAAACTTTATATCCAGAAATATGCTTGTTATTTCTTCATTTTATTTATTTTTTCAAAGTATTTAATTTTGATTGCAGAACGATGCAATTAATATATTACATAGTTCCATCTAATTTTCTTTCATTGTTATATTAATCAGGAAAATTAGACAAAACATTTTGCTGTTCATCAGCATGAAAGCCTGTCTAATAATTCCTGAAAGTAAATATGTTCATAAATGACGGACTGCAGTTATTCTGATCTTATTTGCATTCCGGATTTTTCATTTACCTTATTAATATGGAATGGATTGCTTCAGATACTCAATTAAATCTTTATTGATCTTTCTCATTGTTCATTAATCCGTAATGCATATCAAAGCTTATATAGCTTTCCTGTTATTTGTTACTAAAAAAAAAATAACCAGAAAATGCACGAATAATTTCAGATTTTCATTGATGTTAGAATATGGTTATTGTCAGATCGAAATTTTATGTAACAAAAAAAGGAAATGAAAAATTATATAAAATAAAATAAATTTCACATTTCTTTTTTTTTTTTAACTTTCTTCATTTCTTTTACTTTTTTCCATTCCTCCTTTTTCCCTTTTTTGAAAATATTTTATAAAATATGCTTTCTTCAATTTTGCAATCAATGTCCTTCCTTTCCTTCTGTTTTCCGTTTTGCTAACCTTTTCCTACCTTCAATAATTATTTTCATTGTCATTTCTATTCAACTTTTTGACTATTAAAAGAATCGGAAATTGCTTAGCCATCCAATCATCCAATCATTCAACCATTAATTCATTCATTCAGTACAATTTTCATTGTCAACATTTCATCGTCTCTTCCTCGTTTTCTAATTTATTTTTTCTTTTGCTTTCTTCCTTCTTTCTTCATCTAATAGTTTTCTCATATCTTTAACAGGTGGAAGAGGAAATTAAAAAGAAGAAGAAGAAAAAAGAAAATACATCTAAAATCATCGTCACATTTTCGTTTTTTTTCAAAATAATTAACCTTTCTCTCTCTCCCATACACTTTCCCTCTTTCTTCTTCAGCAAGTTGAAGGTTACATTCTATTTGCAAATGCAATTTTGAAAAAAAAAAAAAGAAGATTAATGATCTAATCAGTCGTATGATAAGAATACATACATTTATGCTTGAATTAATACATTTTGCATGTTAATTTATTCATCCCAATGTGCAATTATAAAGTAATAACAAGAATTTAAATTAGATAAGCCATCACTAGATTATATTTATTTCTTTACTTATTTATTTGCTAAGCAGAAATAAGATAGTTCCGTATGTGTGTGCATGTGAAATGTTTAAAAATTAGTTTCAACTTTATTTCTATTAATGGCTTTAAGCGCAATCGTCTACTTTTCGCAAGATTTAATGATAAATTATTTTAAGAAATCGTATTACCTTAGCAGGATTCCTTCCTCTCTTATCTCTTCCTACATTCAATCGCGAAGTTGTCACATATAAAGGTAATTATAGATCATTTGAGTAGAAAGGCATTAAAAATTAGAAACCACTGACAGGCGGTAATGACGATGATCGCGACTACTGCGCAAGTTCAAGGGCATTTACTACTGCTCAAGGAGATGCATCCATAAAATCATTCCTATCATACCCTTTCATCGATAATATTTATATATCAGTGTGTGTAGTTTTTTTTTCTTTTTGTTACTTATTGATTTGATTTAATTATTTTGAAATAATTCCTTGAAAAAAAAAAATATTTTTAAAATTGTTTCTAAAATTATTTAACATATTTGTGATGACAAAGAGTGGGGAAATGGATGGTTTAGAAATGGAAATGGTAAATTATGATTGGAACATAAAGTACTCCTTCCAATGGGACACTTCTGATGTCAATAGCTTTTGCAAATATTTCCTTTAGGCTTCAAACAAAAGGTTTCCTTTTTACGCGATTGTGAGAAATGTCAACAAGGCGGTAGAAACTTGATGCCAAAAGGTAAGCTTGACCAGCGTTGACCTTTACTCAATGATTTTATTATATATGCTGAATGACTCATTACTTCAAGAAAAAACATATTCAAATGATGATGACATTGATGGAATTTAATCATAATCATAATCATGGTCATGATCAATAACCGTGATAGTCTGTGAATAATTATAGATTATGATTAATAGTCTTGATGGTCTCGAATAATCAAATCAACTTAAATATTTCTTCACAGGATTTCAAAAAAAAAAAAAGCAAAAAGAGAAAAAGAGGTAGAAGACCTTACGACATATTATATAAGAATGAATTATTAAAAAAAGAAAAAAAAAATTAATCTGTATAAGTTGTCAGTGAAAATGTTCAAAACAAAATTTTTAATTTGCTAAAAAAAAGCGATCAAATTTTTACTGAAAAGCAAAATTCTGGAGGTGAAATTTTTTAACTTTTAATTTTAAAAAATAAAACAAAATTATAGCGCACAAAAAAAAAAAAAAAAAAAAAACAGTAAATTTTTTTAAGCAAAGATTTTCGTTTTTTTTTTTTTTTCAAATTAACTTCATATTGAAGTGAATTTAATACAATATTTTTTCAAATTAACTTGAGACTGAAGTAAATTTATTATTTTTCTTAATGCATCAATTATGGTATTATTATCATTATTTTTTTCATGAAGATAATGAAATTTAACAATGATTCTATTAACCATTTTGTTAATTATAATGCATTAGAGTATTATTTTATTACATACTTCAAAATAGTATATTATTTCAATTTATTACATACTCGATGAAATGTTAAAATTGATAATTACATGAATGATATTTTTCATATTTTTTCTACAACAATGACATAAATCATTGCAATACCAAATGACAACAACAGATTTGCTAACATTTTCCCATGCACATTAACAAAATGAAATGCAAATTTGAGGTTGAAGTGAAGTGCAACATCGTTTGATTTCCCATCCTGATAATGCGCAGCTGCACAGGTGTGTGCATGTTGCGCTCAATATTTGTTTGCTGGAAGATTTATTATAGATACTTTACGATATGAGGTCGTGCCCTTTTCATTCAATTTTTCCATTCCAAAGCCTTATATTGAAGGCTAATTAAGTACTACAATATATTTAATATATTTGTCTTTTAAATTTTGCAAAATGTTTTCTTTTATTTAGACTTACATAGAGTTTGATTTATTTGACTTAAATGTGTTACAATTGTGAAAATAAATGCGAAAAGCATTGAAAAAGAAAATGAAGTTAAATCGCAAAAAAAAAAAAAAAGGCATAAAAACATCAAATGCAAAAGTAAGTAGTGCAATAAACGTATTTGAAGTGTCACTCAAAGATACAGTTATTTCAAAATCTGTAAATTCTGAACAAATTTGCAAAATGTAAAAAAGATAAAAGTCATTTTGATTGATCAAACTTCTATTAACTGTATATTTCAGTATTTAAATTAATTAACTAATAAAGCAGGTGAGAAAATCTCAGCTTCCATGTGATATTATTATTTTTTTTTTTAATGTAAAAAATGACAACGATAAGATATGATGAAAAAAAAAAAAAAAATGAAACAATGATTCTCGTAGATAATACTTTGTCATCATTGACTTTAGAACATAAATGTATTGCAATTGGAATTTGTTGTTGTTATTATTATTGTAGCTAGGATTACTGCACGTAATAATATTATTTATATATATATTTTTTTACTTTATGTCATTTTATAATTATTTCTTTTTTTTCAAAACAAATAGTTGAGATTTTTTGAATCATTTTAGACAAATACTATTTTTCTTTTCAAGTATTTAAGAATAAAAACTGTTCAGGTATTTAAGACAAAAATTCCATCCAATTTTAGCACTGCAATTGTAGCATGGAATGATAGTAGATATTAATTGAAATTTGAAATTTGTAATTGCATGAACATATTTTCAAATAGGATGATGCTGATTTTTATTAATATTTTCAGCAATGAATAAAGTCTCTAATCTAAGGTTAATTTAAATTGAAAATTACATAAAAGATGTGCTTGCTTTTATCAGTTATAATAATTTTGAAAAGTTTTTTCTCTGCCGAATATTCACCACACTTAAATTGCCAAAATTATAACTTCATTTTACTGAATCAATTGATACGCATTCTTTTAAATGATGCATAAACTAGTGTAAGTTAAATTTTGGGGCTGAAAAAAAAAAATTTCTGTTATAGATGGTGATGATGATAATAATATAATGATGATAATGATAATATAGTGACGATGATGAAAGCACTGAAAAATAAATATAATGAATGAATATAATGATAATAATGGTTGCTATTAACGGTAGCATCTGGTTGTTCCATGTGTTCTCGGGGCATATAGCATGAAATTGAGTAGTATATGGTTTTGAATTTAGTCATAGCTTCTGGTAGAAACGAGACCACCCGCTGCTCGGGAGCAGCACTTCCTGATGACTGCACTCATTTCAGGATGATGCGATGTTTGTTGCATCACTGAAAGCCACTTTCCTTTTCTTCCTCTTCCACTTAATATCAACAAAACATCCATCATCATTTGAATAACTGAAGCAAGCATTAATGAGCTAATCAATGACATTTATGCTAATTACTTCATGAAATATTCCAACAAACTGGTCAGATAGATGCATATGCTTAAATATGTAAGCCATCATTGATCATTATTTATATATTTGGTCATTAGCTTGAAATTTCGTTTTGTTAGTGCATATTTAACCTAATCTGTTGATATCTTTTAAAAGTAATAAATATTTGTGAAAGATTGTTGTAGTTACAATAGTTTTTGTTCGTAATTATGCTTTATCATTTTAGCATACTTTGTCAAAAATTTCGAATTACAAAAAATTCATTAAAATCATTTTAAATTTTTAGAAATTTTTAGGAACTATTATTTGCGCTGCATGAAAATTTACAATTGCATATGAGCATTGCTGCAAAGAAATTAGAAACAATCACAAATATGTAAATTGAAATTTACTAAATAAAAATTTTCGTTTATTTAACTAATGCATAAAATTAATTTAAAATTAAGGACAATAATTTTCTTCAGCAGAATAGAATTTCAATAACAATAATAATTGATCGCAAAAAGAGTCAAACATCAACTCGACTCATCCTGGCATTGTTAATTAATTTTGGATAATTTGATCGAATGCAAACGATCACTTTCTAAATTAACTGCAACACCGCCACTGGTATCTTTTCCAACAAAGATACCGCACAAAATGGTTTCATGCAAGAATTGAACATTCATTTAGTCTTTGTGTGTTCACGATTATTAGGATACGGTAATTGTTGAGGAGATGGACAAATAATGAATGGACAAGCGGATGGACATTGATATTTTTGAACTAAACCATTTTCTTTTTCTCTTTTCAAAAAGACCGCAAATTGTTCGTCGATGACCCGCTTTTATGACTATTTGTTCCTTACATTTTGCTGCATCACTTTGCGCAAATTGCATATTTATGGATATTCTCTTCCTCTCATAAAATATATTTCTTGTTATTGTTAAATTTACAATTAATTAAATTTCAATAAAATAGCGAGAAATATAAATTAGAAGAAATTGCTTGAAAATTAATCAAATAATTCAAATTAAATCTTTTGAAGTTTTTATTACTTGCGTTTGATTTACATTATTACTGCTGATTACTTTTGTAGAGTAAAGAAAATTTTAAAAATTTACAAATTTTCTGGTTTAAAAAAATTTGCATTTATTAGTGCTAATTAGTTAAAAGGTAAAAATTAGCAGGCAGGTGAAGATTTGAAAAGTAAAAATGAATCAGAAGCAGAAAAAAAAGAAATATTTTTATATTAAAAGAATTTTTTGGTTCTTTTTTAAAGTATCTAATTAATATCCATTTCTCTCATCTTCCCGCGATTACTTACAATACTTTAGAAATTATCTTAATCACCTTGAACACAGCATATTTGTATTTGCTATCTGTTTCAAATCATCGTTGATTTTTTGATGCCTTAATTTTTAATCTGAGTATTAAGAAATTTACAGATGATTCAAAAATTTTAAAATTTGATGAATATTTGAAAATACACTAATTTTTTTATTCATTGTTTATTTAAAATATGGATAGTTATATTGAGAAAAAAATCTCGAACATATAAATGCTAGCAATAAATTATTTAAAATATTATTACACCAAGTATTACAAAAAAAAAAAAAAATTTGCTAATTATCAAATACAAAATTGTTTGATGAATTTAATTTTACAACCAGGTGCAATCTATTATACCAGATGGATGTCGTAGTTGAATTATCGGAATCTCTCCATACAACAGAAATGAATGTTATGGATTATTGCAAATATGTGGGATGTAAATAAAACTTATCATATGGGTTTATGAAGTATATAAGGACACCTGTGCACTGCACCTGGAAATAATTGAGTAGAGTAACTGTTGCACATTACACCATATGTCAACATAATCATTTGTCATAAATTCTAATAATAACAAAAAAAAAAAAAAAGAAAAAAAAATGATTTTTAGGTTATTAATGGTATTTTTTCTTGATAAAAAGTATATAAGTGTTATAAAATTTATTGAAATTCTGAGGAAAAAATGAAATAAAATAATAATATTTTAATCAGAAGTATTTTTGGTCCATTATTTATTTTCATATGCCAAGTGTTGATTTACAAAATTTTGAGACAAGTAAATGTATAAAAATGATGGTTTGAGTCTAAATTGATTTCGAATAATTTAAAACAAATTAAAATGAGATTAAATGAATGATTATTTCTAATTTTAGTTGGTTAGCTTTTAAAAGATCTTTTTTTTTTTCTCACGAGTTTTGGTTTATGTTTAGTTACGTTGAATTGAACTTGGCTAACTTTTGGATTTATTATTAAGTGATGACAAAATGTTTGCAGTGAAGATTTCTTTATTGATAAAACAAAAATATTTCAGAGAACTTAGAATATTTCTAACAACTGAACTCTGACATATAGCTGCAAATAAATCAACAATACAAAATGAAGAATAACATGATAATTTATAAACTTATAAAGTTAAATTTAAGTTTGACAGATATCAATCTTATATATTAAATTATGAGTCAAATTTTATGTATTTTAAAGAAATAATTTGAATATGTATTTTAGAGAAATAATTTGAATTATTATTATATTTCCAATTATCAAGTTGCAAAATAACATTTTTAAGCACATATTTGTTTTCTAGGTCTTAAAGGTCGTCGTTTATTGGTGCTACGTAAATGAAATCGTGATAATGCTCTGTTCAGATTTGCGACGTCGATTGTTGATGAATGATTCTCATCAGTTATATTTTCTTGTGATCGCAATATCTCCTAAAAAATTTCTCATCATTAAATTAATATATTTTTAATGAAACAACAAAAAAAAAAAATCTAATTTACTTATTAAGTTTAAATAAAATCCAAATTGAAACAAATCAAATTAAATTTAAAATCTCGAATAAGAAGTAAAAATTTATAGGAGATATGAATTTTCACAATTTCTAGGCAACCTTAATATCACATCTCAGTTTAATTCTTCTAAACTTAAGATTATGTAACTAATGACTAGTTCTGGCTGTGAAATGAGTTGAAATTTAAATTAAAATTTATGATCAAACCTCAAGAAAGATAATATAATCCATGATATGATTGATAAGCTCCAACTCTGAGCATTGTATCACATTTTTTCCATGTGGTAACATGCGACGTAATTTAGCAATTGTTCGTTTATGTTCACGTCGTCTGCATGACACTTTATTTACACGACCATTTTGCAATGGTACTTCATAACAGTTTGAAAATTTGCCTTGGGATGATTGTGAATGAGTGGAAAAATCGGTTGATGATGACGATAATGATGATGATAATGATGTAGATGGTGATAGTGTTGAAGGAGTTGATATTGCTTCTGTTGTTAATGGATGTGAAGATAATGAAGACATGCTAAATATCTGAAAATAATTTTAATTCTTCATTTTTTCCAAAAAAAAAAGAAACAAATAAGCTCATAGGGATCGTTTACATAGAGTTGATGAAATGTAGTAATTTTACATTAATGAAATATTACTTTTCATATTAGATATGATGAATGTAATTGAAGAGTATATGAGAATTCTAAGCAGTTTCGTGGAAATTTTGTCAAAAAACTTCAATGATCTAATGGAATTATCATCAAACATTGATCAGATAAGAAAAAAAGAGAATTGCTTAGCATGAATTATTAATTAATAATTTGAAAGACTTTTTACTATCTTTTAAATATGACAAAAAAAAAAGACAGTAAAGGAATTGATCGGATCACTTAGAAATGTTAGGATTATACTTTTCTGATAGGATAGAGAAAGGCACGACACATCAGTTTGTCATCGTAGATGCCCTTGTCTCTCCTCTTGTCATCCTGTCCTAACGGACTCTGTGAAATACAATGACCGCCCCTCAACTCGACCTCTTTTTCTTCATCATCATTTGATTCTAGGACCACGCCCGAATACATTGTGACATGGAAAGTGGTGAAATTTACTCGTCAAACAAAAGTGCGACAATCAACATTAAAATACATTTTGTTTTTGACAAATTTCAGGAATTTTTCAAATTAACAATTCATTATAAAACATTCGTGCATGAAATAAATTTTTGAAGCTAAAATTTTAGTTGAAATTAAATATGTACAATTTAAACCAAATCCACTTTAAGAAAAAAGAAAGAGGAAATATCAAAATTAATAAAACTTTGAAAAGATACTAAAATAATAATTTAGAAAGAAAAAAGATTAAATTGATAAGTCAAAAATATTTTAAATAAAAATATGTTAAATAAATCAAATTATGAGGAAACTTGTAGAAAGACAAAAAATTCAATAAATTTATATATTAGCAAATATCATAACGTTATAGGTTAAAAATGAAAAAAAAAAAAAAGTTATTGGAAGTGCAGAAAAGATTAATGGAATAGAAAAGATATGTAAAGTCATTTGTACCAGTAATCAAATGTAAAGGTATGTGCAGTTGACAAGCAGAAAGATCATATATTAAGCATGCAACACCTGCAAAAGCCATTATGGTACTATAATATTAGCATAGCTGCCAATCCGATAATCAAAATATTGCAGTTTTCTGCCTTTTAATAGAAACGATAAGTTTAAAAAAAAATTTTAATAAACTTCTCTAATCAATTAGAAAAAATAGTTTTTATGCTAAATATCAAAATTAATCTGAGGAACTAAAAATTAAATTGAATTAAAAATTAGTGGTAGTAGTGAGTATAAGTATAAAATACAATCGTTATCACAATTAGAAACAGCTGTATTCAAGTAAATTAGTAAAAACAAGTGAAGTTTAGCTGCTGTTAAGTTCACAATTACTTCAAATTAAACTCAAAAAATTAAAGGGAAAATTAGAAATAATGAAAAAAAAAAGTGAAATTTTTAAAATTTTTTACAAATTATATGAAAACTGCTAAGTTTCAGATCTTTGTTAATGCATACTTTTTTTTTTGTTTCATAAATAGTAAATTAATAATCAAAAGTAAAAATAATTAAAGTGATTAAAAGTAAGCTATTAACGACGGATATATAACGATGTTAAGAACTTTTAACTTCATCGACAATAAATATGTTACAAACTTAATGGAATAATGGGAATATGCATAACAGTTCATAATTGCAAATTTACGACACAATCCCTGCTCCTTGATGAAGTATAAACCTGTGTCGTGATTTTGAAGTACCTGTTGATGAACAAAATGTTGATCGGTATAGGTACTTTGATGTTTGTTTGTTCTTTTTTAGACCAAACTCTTTCTTTTTCTCTCCTTCTCTTCCTTTCTCCCTCTCTCTCTTTCTGTCTCCCTCACTTTTTTTTTTTTTGTAAACACCTGAATACATTAGATCAGTATTAAGAAGTACTTACCCAGATGTTACCTGTAACCTTTGGTTATACCGACTTAATTCATTTCGATATGATTCAATTCTAACATACAATTAACCATTTTCTATAATAATATTCACTGATACTATCAAAAACAAAAAATCATATTATCATATCAGTGAAAAAATGGCAATGAAAATATTTTAATAAATGTTAAATTATTTCAAATTAGTATTTTATAATAATAATAATAACGAATCGGAATAATTTGATTTTAAATACAATTAAGCTATGTACAAAGTAAAATGTATTAAGGCCAAAAAGTATACGCCAGATGGATGACAACAGCAGGAGCAGAAGTAGGAGTACTGGTTCTGGCCTATATTATGCAGCTGTTAGTCTTCCAACAACGAAAGCTTTGGATTGAATTGGGGTCTGCTTATCATCATCTGCTCTATCCAACAAATAATGCAAACGGTACCTCATTTAAAATAAGTTAAATACATGGGATTTCATCGCTATCACTGCTCATTCTTTCAATAATTCCATTTTTCTATTTGATAAATTTAAAATATGTGCCATAAATGAATTAAGGCTAAAAAGAGATGAAAGCGATGCAGCTGATAAATATGATAATGATAACAACTTCTTCTTTCTAAGATTAATATTTCTTCAAACTATTTGAAAATATTTTTTGGATTGTAAATCAGCGCAAAACTATGCATCTAATTAATTACTTAGCAAAATATAATTTTCAATAAATTTTGCGAAAAAGAAAAGATGAATATTTTTAATTTAGCTTTTCATGGCTTACAATTAATTTGCTATGTCTGCAAAAAAAAAAAAAAAAAAAGCAAATAATATCAATTTGTTAATTTATTATTATCGTATTATTTAAGTGAATGAATAAAGCTAAGGGAATTCTATTTAAATTCAAAAATAAAATATTTTTGTGATATAATTTAGATGCAAAAACTGCATTTGTATTAATTGATTTGTTACATAAAAGTAATACTTTGATAAGAAATATTTCATTACTAAAATAGTTGCTAAATTCGATATTGATTAATTGATTTTATAAGGTATTTTTGTCAACATATGCCAGGAATATTTCAAGATATTTCTTTTATACAATGCTAAATTACAATTTTTTTAAAAAAATTCAAACAATGTAAAATCATAAGATTACTAATATATTATTATGCTTCCCTTTAATATTTTGCATGTCATCAAATGATTGCCAGTTCATTAAATGATTTTAAAAATTTTCAATAAATTAAAGTAAAAGAGAAAGGGGGCAAAAAAAAAAAAAGAATTAACAGTTAATTAAAAATTAACTGTTAAACCTTTAATTCATTTATGCAATCTTTTAATTGGATGCGGATGCAAATAAAAGTATCAAATAGTATTTATTAAATCAGCTGCTCTTCCTTTTCTGCTTTTTTCTCCTTTGCATGCTCGTTTCCGCACTATAACATACAAACATGTAAAAGTGGCTTTGTGGGTGTTATAATTAGCGCAGGTGTCCGATTAGGTTTTGATTTAAGAGAAAGGATTTCTTGTTTTCCAGGATGACGTCTTTTTGCGGCTTTCATTCAAATTGGACACCCATAAATGGCCAGGTGCTATCTGTCTAGTGCTTAATGCCTTAAGCATACTACTACAATATAAATGCGTATCACTTTGAGACCAGCTGTACCAGTTTGCGCATGCTTACAATGGCTTACACATTTTTACAATTTAGCAATTAAATTAGACAATAAAATAATAAACCTTTCAGAGAAATAAAATAAAGAAATAAATAGAAGGAAAGAAAACACTGTGATAATTGTGACAATATTAGCTTAAATTAACATGAATGTGACAATATTTTGTATATTTAATCAAAAAAAAAAAAAATTTTTTCTTTAAAATTTTCTCTGTTTTCTTTCTCTTACTATAAACCGTTGCAAGTTTAATAAATCTAATTGTTTACTTTTTTTCATCATTAACCAAAATTTTTGTCAATAAAAAGCTTATTAACGCATAAACAGCACTATTTTTATCAGTACAAATTAATAGGTACACAGGATGTATTTTCTTTTTCCTTTCTAATTTGACAATTTTTTAATTCCTAATTTGACGCCACTATTTATTTCATCTCTTCTATTGTGTACAGTTATTTAAAAGATAGTAGTAGCATATTAATGGATAATAGATAATAATGCAGTAATGACCGCCCGGCTTCTTTGTCATTTTTTGCTAACTGGTAAATCCACGTGAGATCTTTTGTGTTGATATACACTTTGTTGTCACACAATTATCAATATAATCTATGATTAACAACAGAAATGGATTAACCTTTTATTTATCTCTCTCTCTTTCTCTCTCTACTTCATATCCATCCCATTTTAGGTTTATTAATCATAGTTCCCTATTTAATATAGGTGTATTCAAAAGCCGCCTTTCCAATTTGGCTATATTCAAGGCCAACTTTAATATTCTATGTGACAATTAAACATATAATTAATAAATTAGAATTAGAAAAACTGAAAGCTTATATTGCTTCTTTTTTTTAACTTTCAAGTTGAAAAATGATTAATAATAATGAAAAAGTAAAATTTGGAAATTAAAGTTATATTTCATTGAGACCAAAAAAAGAAAGATTTCATTCACTTTTTCTTCTTATCCATTAAAAATGAAAATATATCTTATTTGAATGGTAACTGCTTCAGTTACCCGTAACAAATTAATTTTTTTTTTTTTTTTCAAATAATTCGTGAGCTAATTAAAATGAGACTATAATGATTCCGAAAAAGATAACCTTGGAATCTTTTTTGATTAAATTTGGTTTGATGCGGTACTCTTTTCCTTCTTACGGTATTGATAGAATTAAAATCGGAATATTTTTGAGGTATGTTGTTGAACCGGTTTCTTTGCGGGTACAACGGAGAAAGTATCACATCGTATGATCATTTTGTGTGTCCTTGAGTAATAGGCACATTTGTCTATCGGAATATACATATAAATGTTTATAATTAAAAGAGAAATAGATGATTATTTAATAGATTTAGAATAATTTCTTAAATATTTTAAACATAATGGCAATCGTCGATGTATTACAGTAAGTCTTTCATTCCTAATTCTGCTCAACGCGATTTTTTCAATACCTTTTTTTTAATAGATTAAAAAATAAAGTTAAGGAAGTATTTATGAAGTAACATTATTATTTTATTAAATTATTATTCATTACTGCTTCCCAAAAAGTAATAAACATTATTGACCAAATAGATTGTCCAGTGGATAATTAATTTGCAAGCATTTTTTACGAAAAATAAAATAATTTATACATTCATTAGGTATAACTTCAATCCGTTGCAAATTTAATATTTATCAATTAAATAATTTAATAATTGACCGTTAGATTATATTTCCACATGCATTAACTGATTCTAACGATTAAATTTAGAAAAAAAAGAAAAAGTTGTGACTTATAGAATCGTTTCAAGTTTGTTTCATCACATCAATGGCATTACAAATACTTTTATTAACCAATGTTAATTTTACTATATTATTAAAAGGTATGTCCCAAAGGGTGCAGAACACCTCCAATCAGCAGGTCTTGGCCGGGTTCGAACCGGCGACCTTCTGCGTGTGAAGCAGACGTGATAGCCACTACACCACAAGACCACGCACACAACTCTTTTACAAATTAGTTTAAAAAATTTCGATTAGTAATTTTGATTTCGTTGACCTTAATTGGAAAATATCAGAAAAAAGAAAACGGCTTTAAGCAAGGTCATTTACTGGCCGTAATAAATTATATGAGAAGAAGAATTGTCACACGTTATTCATCTTCACCTTGAACTTTTCCATTATTTTATTATGCAAATTTCTTTTTTTTCCTTATCTCATCAAAAAAAAGAGAAGAAAAAATTCTCAGATTTGTTTGCCTATACATTGCCTCATTTTTCACATACAACTATTATTGTGAGGGGTTCAATTGTTACAAATTTTATAAAATAACAGAAAATTTTTGAGAATGCAAACTGAATGAAAAAAATATTGCAAATGAATGTTTTTCGTTCAATTTGCGTTTTCATTAATTTTATTCACGCATTTCCGATTTTTGTTTTTTTTTATTTAATTGTGCAATATTGAAGAAAATTTAATTTTGACGGTACGAGAAAAGGAAAAGAATTCATTGTATGATAATAAATGATCAGAAAAGAAAAGTCAAATAATACTACTTGGTCGATATAGCGCACATATATGTGAATAATATGCTCAGTTCTGCTTTTATTCTAGATAAATAAAGAAGAAGAATCATAGTAATTAATAGTAATATTAATAATAGTAATATTGATAATAATAATAGTAACAGTAATAATATTGATAATAATAATAGTAACAATAACAGTAATAATAATGATAATAATAATAATAATAATAATAATAATAATAATAATAATAATAATAATAATAATAATAATAATAATAATAATAATAATAATAATAATAATAATAAATAAATAAATAAATAAATAATAAATAATGATAATGATAATGATGATTTGTTATAATAATAAAATAATAATAATAAAATAATCATTACAGAAATGATCATGGTGATGCAGAATAGAAGAAATAACGTATGGCCCAAAAAAGTGACAGATGCTATAGCAACTGAATAGCTTAAGTCCTCTTTACTTTACCGCACGCTCAAAACCGCCACCTATTAAAAAGTATTTTTTTTTTCTTTTGAAGTTACCTCGTTTATTCAAGAAAGATCCATGCAAAAACTACCAATTTCAGGTCACATTTACATTTATACTTCAAAAAGTATCTATCAAACATATAAATTATGCAGAAATTATACAAAATGAAAGGAAAGTCGCTGCGGTAAAGATGAAAAAAAAATAAAGAACATTTACTGTATCACATCCTTAATTTAAATTAACATTGGTGACATTTTTGGAGTAGTAAACTTCAAGTTTTAGAAAATGCATATGTGTTATACCACTTTATTATGATAATTTTTTTTTTTTTTTCAAAAATGACTTGAATTTTTTAAGTTAAAACGCAAATAAATGGAAATATTTGAAAACAATTTTTCCAGTACTTTCTTCTAGCAATTTTTTGTGTGAAACCGATGTAACTTAAAATTATCCTGAAATTTAACTATAAGATTCAAAATTAGATGAATCGTAATGGTTGTTGGTTTAGAACTTCTTTTTATGGCTCATTTATTTTCGCATGCAAATCAGAGTTGCTATAAGTAACAAAATCTTTATCAACACGATAAGCCGCACTTTTATTCCGTCCTTTCCAACATTCCGTTTCTTAAGAAACCGTTTTCCGCCTTTAATTTGTGTTATCTCAAATGCAATAAATGCATGCAATCCTCTTTGTGAATGAACCTCCGATGCCTTCCATAATTGTCCTAACTCGTTAATAGTTTACTGATCCGTTATCTCAAGCAAACATTTCCCTTTATCACTTCCATCCAGTTCCCACTTTCATCCCAAATATTTTATAATTTACAGTATTCTTTCAATCAAACATTTTCATTTGTAAAAATTAAAATAATGATAGTAATTAAGTAATTGATAATCTCTTGTATTACTTTAAAATATTCCTATCATAGTCCTCTTAATTAATTTAAGCAATTTATTGCAATTACTACTAATATTTATTTATTTGTAAGCCATTTGGAATTACTCAAATCCGTTTTTGTTGTTATATGAATTTGTACTTAAATCTGCTTTAAACATTTAAATGTGAGCAATTAAATTTGGATATGAATTTGTATTAGAATTCTAAAGTTTCTAATGCATATGTATGTTGAAAAATGAATGCTTCCAGAATATTTCCATTGGATTATTACTACATAGTTTCTGGGCCCTCTTTTGAAAAGCTTTCTATCCTGGACCTCTGATTAACTCTTGGCTTTTCCCGATACAACAACATTAGCAGTGTGTAACAACAGCAGGCTTCACGGATCTGGTGTCAGATGTATGTGTAGGCAAGAGGACATCTGGTTCTGCTTCAAAATCAATGGCCATATGAAATATATAAAGCCTACGACAGCTGCTCTTCCTTTTTGCTTCATCATATAGCTAACGAATTGACCCTCTTGGATATATACATTATATTGCATAGGCACTAGTTTTAGCCTAGTTACTAAAGGCCACAAATCAATTGCTATTTTAGGGTTAAATTAATTTAAATAGGGATAGGAATTTATGTAAGAGTTTAGAAAATTTAAATAATAATTGGTAATATTTGCCTTATTTGCAAAGCTTCTATAAAAACTATTTCAAATGAAATTCTCAATTATGAAATGATGAAAAAAAAAATTTTTTTTTGTTCCATTCACTGGGGAAATGGAATGCGCTAAAAGATTGAGGAAATCTAAAATTTGCATAAAAATTGTCTTAGCACATCAATTTATTTAACAGACATTTCGACCAAACATCGATGATAGAATTAATATTATTTTTATCAGTGCTATATTTCAGTCACAATAATGGTAAATTAAGTCTCCTCTAATTCTCCTCCTCTAATTGAATTCATGATAAGCAGAATCATTCCGGATAGTAATAATAGACAAGCAAATAATTCTTTTTATATCTTAACTGAAAAATTTCTTCAAATTCTAATTTTTTTAAATAAACTTTGCTAGTAATAGTAAGAATTGGTTTGAGAAATTCATAGCTTTATAATATTTTTCAAATTTTAGCATAAAACTATTCAGAAATATGCTTCAAATTCGATTTTTATAATTTTTCCTTTTTTTTTTTTGCTCTTTAAATTAAATTTGCATGCAATTAAGTAGGAAATCATTAAGTTAAGAACACTTCAAATATATCAATTCATGAATTGCTTAGAGCTTTACATCAGATGTCCAGCAGGTGTACACCAGGTGTCAATTCAATAGCATCATGCTAATTCACCAAATTTTCGCTTCCTTTTTTTTTGAAAACAATACATTCTGTTTTGTGTCATGATGAAAAAAATTAAAATGAAAAATTAAATTTATTAGGAAAATGAAGAAACAAAAAAAAAAAAACCCGCAAACAACAGCTTTTCAAGAATTCACAAATAACATTTCTCTGGCTTTTCAAGGTTTTGAGAAGAAAACAACAATTTACAAGCTTCTCATGAATCAAAAAGTGCGTACAATTAATTGTAAAGTTTTTAAGGCTTTAAGTTTTTTAAGGAATAGGGAAGTTTTAGTAATTTGAGAAATTTGAAACAAAAACGGAGGAAGTTGTTCAGTTTTTTTCCCACAGAAAAGGGAAAAACAAAAAAGAATTCGCACTAATTTAGAAGAAAAATTATTGTATCATTTATTTTCACAGCATTTAATTGTAATTTTTGAATTAAGATTTCATCTTAGCTTTGAATTAGGCGGAAATTACAACAAAGTTAAATTACGCATTTTATGAAAAGAAAAAATAATAAAAAAATATACACACAGTTACAATATAATGGACCAAAACTTTCTTAAAGTATTCACGTAAATAATTATCAACACTTCACGTACGTATGTTGCAAGAAATAAAACAGAGAGAAATTCATTTTGATATTAACTAGTTCAAATTATCAAATTAATAGAATTTTTCTTCCTCATTCATCATTCTTATTTTATTGCATGAAATGAAAGTAAAATTCAAAAAACATTTCGCCGTTAATTTCATACAATTTTACTGTGATCAATCAATTGATCGACCGATTGATCAAGAATATGACATAGGTAGTAGCATCAGAGGCGAATGTTAAATTTTTCATTATTTTTTACTGCAAAATCAGAATCATAAATTTAGGATTTTAAATGTGTGAAATATTTTACTGTTGATGAAATTCATGTCTGGTAGAATATTTCATTGAACTGATAGATGTGGTATTGATTGTAGTATTAATCTTGGAGAATAAAAGCGATAAATCAGTGATTGTTGGATTTTGCTTGAATGACATAGCAGCAGTTGATATCGCTCTATTATCAATACCACTATCATCATTATCATTAACATTATCATCATCGTTATCATTCACGATTTGCTGCAAATAAATAAAAATTTTGATATATATATATATATTTATTTATTTTAACAGCTTAACATGACAATACTTTGACAAGTCAACATATATGTAAAGTACAGACAGTATAATATGTAAAGTATTTAATTTATTATAACAATATATAACTTACTGATATAAATAAAAGCATATTTATAAACATCTCACATATTTAATTTTCATAATAAATTTTCTTCTCATCCTTTAATACCTCATTTCAATTTGCGGAATATTAAAATTTTGAGAGAGAGAATTCTTTCATTTCTCATTAATTTCCCTTCCTTTTTTTTCCACCTTATCATCTCTATATTCCCATTTTATTGTTAGAAAGTAAAAAATTTACAGAATGAATGGGTAAATGCAAATTGTTAACCTGTAAATCGGTAATATAGTCGATGATATACTGCAACAATTCAAGTTGTGTAGTAGCACTCCGAGCATTAGGTACCATTGTTCGTAGTCTCTTCATCAGCTGATATCGTTGACGCTGTTCATACGATGCCTTCTTAATTCGTCCAATACGAATTTGTCCACTGCTATCGGATTCGGAACCGGATGAAGCACTTGATGAGGATGCTGATATGAGTAGCCGCATTTTCGGTTAGTAATGCCGGAAGACTGAAGATGCACTCTGATCAAACAGAACTTGAAATGAAAGTTGGCGCCTGCTAGACTCTCTGAAAGTATTGTCGTCGATTAGGCATCTCATTGTGAGGAAGTGAACACACCCCTTCTACCCGGGAACCCTACCCGAATGCTAGGGTTAGGGCCACACCCGATGAACAGCTGGCATTGCGCCGCAGCACCTGCTTGCTTCGTTACTTCGTTTCGGTCATCGCTCTGGGAAAATAGTTGCTCAACACATGGACGAAGAACTTTTCCCAGGCTCAAATGCGCTATATGCAAATGCGCTCATATTATAGAGACAATTATGTGACACCTACCTATTCCATCCAAACAAAGTATCACACTAAACAACGGAACTAGTTTCCTTTCATGTTATATTTATTTAAAGCAAAAATAAATAAATAAAATAGGACGTGAGAAATGTCGTTTATAAAATGAAATGTCACATTGTGAACATGCATAATAACCGATGACCAGTAGTGACCTATTGTAGCCACTTATTCTTCTTCCTCTCAAATATTACGTATAATATTTTATTGTCAGGAAAGTTTTTTGATTTTTTTTTTTTTGAAATTTATCATAAACTATGCTTACTCTATGAATGAAAAGTTTATAATTGTAATCATTAATTACAGTAAAGATTTTCTTTCCCTGTCATTTTAACTCCGTAAGTTTTATTGTTAAAAGTTCAAATTAAAAATTTTTTAATTGTGATCAAAAAAATATACAATTACAAAATATCTTTGATCTATTTATCTATTATTCCTCTCATACTGCACTGCAATGTTTAGTAATAATATCAAGTTTTCATCTTCCGGATTTCAAATTTCTGATTTCTTTCAAGAGTTATACCTTTATTATCGGATATCATCATTTCTTATTCGTTGTTATTGAAATACTAAATATAGTTTATTCCGGATTAGCACGCTTAACAGCTGCTATATTCCAAAAAAGAGGACAACTGGGTAAAGGAAATTTTCTTTTTTTTTTTTTTTTTCTTTTTTGTCGGTATGTTAGGATTAAATGGGTAGTGAAACATTTTTTGACGTGGACAGATGTTATTCTCTTCTTCTTCTTCATCATCTCTTGGCTCCCAATGCGACATTATCGCATAACGGTGCACAAACAACACAGCTGTTACAATAATATACTTTTGCAAATGGTTGGTTGTGCCCAACTGTCGAAACACGTATCCTCCATAATACAATACATTCCATCTGTTTTTCATTTTTTTTTCCGGATCTATTGCTAAGTGAAGTGATTAAAGAGAGAGAGAGAGAGAGAGAGAGAGATTTCCCGAGTTGCTATTATTTTAAAGAGAAAAAACAAAAAGAAGGACAATGGATTGGTCAACTTGTTGATAGTAAAAATTAGTGATATCATATTCTTGTTTTTCCTTCACTTAATCCGATAAAGTTATCAGAACTTCTGTTGAAAATCCCTGAATTATTGTTAATAATAAAAATTAATAAATAATCTCGTATTATATTCTTGTTTTTGAAATATATGAAATGAACAGTTAGTTACATATATCAGTAATGCAATAATATATGAAACATATGGATGGAATGAAGAAAATAATCCGTAAGACTTGTTTTCGACAATATATATATTATCGTTAACCTTTAACCTGATACCTGATACAGAAGCAAAAAAATAATTTAAATTATAAATGTTCTGTTGATTACTTCTGTTAATCAAATATCTTTAATCTTATTAATTTATTATTGAAAATTAAGTATTTCTCGGAATTTTTTAAATATATCATTTTAATTTCCCGAAAAAAATGAAATAATAATAAAACCGCAAGTCCGTAATATTACGTAGCAGCAAATATGTTCTGTAATAAATGTAAGTAATAAATGATTAATAAACATTTCTGCTTACGATAAAATTAACAACAAATTTTTTTTTACGATTAATTTTCAGGAAAATATTCACTTGATGCATATTTGTATGTTTATTAAAAAGTTTTTGAGGTTTTTTTTTTTTTTGCAAAATTTATGAAAGTGTTAAAAAAAATTATCAGAATGGTCATATTGTAAGTAACAACAATAATAACAATAACAGCAACAACAATAACAACAAGAACAATAACTATGACAGCAGTATCATTAAGATGAAAGATGAGGCTTAGACATGTCACCTGAGAAGTTAGTCTCTCCTTTTTTTAACACCTGTTGTAGGTGAAACTACTTCAGGATCTACTTACTTCAGTGATTGTATTTCATGGAATAAAAATGAAAGAATGAAGAAAACCCCCTGCTGTTCATTCAAAATCACTTCTATGTATTTTATGTTTGATCATTATCAGGCTAAACACTTTAAGTATTTCATTTCCGTACAACAATAATTCCATATTGATTACGCCTATTCCGGACAGCCTTTTAATGAAGAATTAACGAATTTCTTTTATTAAAAAAGATTATATTTGAGTATTCAAAGCATGTAAGAAGAAAAAAAGTAGAGGTATTATTGCTAGGTACTATTTTTTTACTTTTATAACATAGTTAAAATTTTATGCTTGCAGAGTTTTAATTAATTGTTATAATGTAATTAAAGTTCATTTCATGTTTGCATGTAATAGCTAAACATATAAATTTGTAGCTAATAATTACTTAAATTAGCTTAATTATTACTGTTACTAATCAGACAATTACAAGCTCATACGTTCTATAGTAAATGATAATTTCCCGAATAACTAGTAAACCAGAATTGTAGACCATTCATTCTATCATTGAGAAAATAAATTTTCACTCAAACAAATATGAAATAGTTTAACACAATTTTCTTTAGTTTTAAAAAATTAAAAATGCTTAAATGTCATGCAACGAAGAGCTAATAAGCCAGGTGCAAGAAGAAAAAAAAAAAAATTTTTTTTTTTTGGCGCACTATACTGAAATCCTTGTAGAAGCATGCCAATAAGCTTCCTGAACATCACAAAGAGTGACCCTTTGTTCCGGGCGGTATGTATCTTTTAAGTTGAATTGAAAAAAGAAAAAAAAAGGATAAGCCGACAATAACAATAATAATAACAGTAATAACAAACGTAGCATACCGGCTCATGTATTCTGGATGATGTAACCTCGATGTTTGCGCCCCAAGGGAACTGCACTGTTACCCTTTGCCGCTTCTTCAATCATTGTTTACCAATTATCATTAATTTAAGCAGATGTTTTCATTCTTTTAATCCATCATTTTCCAAATGTTATTTGACAGAGAATATCTAACTTTTGAGTTATACATTATTTGAAGTATTTCTTAACATTTCTCTTATTTCTGTTGGATGAAGAAGTCATTGAAAGATGAATAAATAATTTTGATGCAGTCTAATATTGCTATCAAAAAAAGAAATTTCATTGTAATTTCCTTTCAAAACAAAACTTTTCAATAGTCTTAATTTTCCCTTCTCAATTATTCTTCATAATTTAGCAATGATATATGCTATTCTAGCTTACATTGATTAATTTAAAAAAAAAGAAATTAGATCTGTAATTAACAGTTATTTCTGATAAATTCCAAAGATGTATTTGTACCTTATCAGTCTATCAATATCATATCACATGATATGTTGTTGAAAGATAGAGCGAAATATTCATACCTTCATAATATACCAATTTGTCTCAGAAATTAACGTTAACTGTTGCTTTCTGATTGATAGCTTTGATCGCAGAGTACAGTTTTATGAGACGAAGAATTCATTTCATATTTTGTTTTCAATAATTTAAAATATTAAATTAATGAGAGAGAAAATATGTAAATAGAACTAGATGAATTGTTAAGGTAATAAATTAATAAATATCACTGTTAATTTAAATTTGTTTCATTTTAGCAATGGGCTAACAAAACTTTTGACTATTAGGCAATCTTGCTAACTTTCTTTTCGTTGCTAAACAATCTTTGCTAATAGCTTCCCAATTTAACAGTAATATATGCTATGGGAAAGTTCTTTCTAACTTATATTACATTCCTGGAATATTTATTTAACTAATTTAAAATAATTTTAATCTATAATTAGCAATCATTTCTGATAAATATTACCTGATCTTGGTAAAATAAGTAAGGATTAGATTAATTTAAAATTAAAATTTTCGCAGTGTTTTCTCTTTATTTTATTTTACTCATGTTTCAGTTATATTAACTTAAAGTTTCGGTATTATAATAAAGAATTATGTAGTCTTTACTGTATTTTACAATCGCTTGGTTGAATTAAGTAAGTAAGTAAGTTTACAATGTTATCGTATACTTACATCAAGCTTTGGCTATTAAATCAGTCATATATTTCCGCATTTCAGTTCTTACTAGTATTACCTTATGCTAAAACTGGAAGTAAAACATCAAAGGTAAGGCATTGAAAGAGAAACAAGAAAATAAAATAATTAATTTGAATGCTTATGGGATGTGTCTATAAAATAATAATAAGTACAACTAATGAATGAGCTACTACTTTTTGCAAGATTTTCTCTAAAATTAAAATAATAAATGTATGAATTTGAATAAAAAAATTCGATTAAACATTTGCTAATCATTAGAAATGAAAATATGAAAGGGAACATCAATTTTTAACTAATAACTTTAACTTTTCGTCATTTTTGATTCTTCAATAACAATTACATTTAATTGTTGGTTCATCGATATTTCAATATACATGAAATCAATATTTTGAGAATTTTATATCATTAATTCTGCATGATTAAAATATCGAACTAAGTTTAAAATTGAAAAGTAATGAAAATAAAATAAAATTTATCAAAATTGATTTAATCATACTATTTAATTAATCACTTCCAATATTGTTTTGCTATCTTATCAGCTTATCTTGCAATGACATTTGCTTTTTTTTCCATTTTGTAAACAAAAATTATTTGAAGTCATTGTAATTGATCACAGATTGACTTTTCAAACAATCTCTTTGTTTTCATCAGAAAAATTTCAATTTCTCCCACAGTTTTTTTTTTTTTTTTTTTT